AGATAAAAGTAACAATCAAGTATTGATCAAGAATATCAAGAATGAAGTCGTTAAAAAGAGTATCCTCCCTATTGCTGCAGATGCAATATTCTATGCAGGAACAGGTAACTTATTATGTAGAGCCGAGGATAGAGTGGTTTTATTTGATCTCCAGCAAAGACTTGTTCTCGGTGACTTACAAACCCCGTTTATGAAGTATGTTGTCTGGTCCAATGATATGGAGAGTGTTGCATTGCTTAGCAAACATGTGATTATCATTGCTAGCAAGAAGCTTGTGCATCAGTGCACGCTTCATGAGACGATCCGTGTAAAAAGTGGTGCATGGGATGATAACGGTGTTTTCATTTATACAACTTTAAATCACATCAAATATTGTCTGCCCAATGGAGATAGTGGGATAATCAGAACCCTAGATGTCACAATATACATCACAAAGGTTTCTGGAAATACTATCTTCTGCTTGGATCGGGATGGGAAAAATAGAACTATAGTTATTGATGCAACAGAGTATATTTTCAAGTTGAACCTTCTGAAGAAGAAATTTGACCATGTAATGAGCATGATTAAGAACTCTCAGCTTTGTGGGCAAGCAATGATTAGTTATTTGCAACAGAAGGGTTTCCCTGAAGTTGCTCTTCATTTTGTGAAAGATGAGAGAACTCGGTTTAATTTGGCTCTTGAGAGTGGGAGCATTCAAATTGCAGTTGCATCAGCAACTGCCCTTGATGAGAAAGATCACTGGTATAGATTGGGTGTTGAGGCTCTTCGTCAAGGTAATGCTGGCATTGTTGAATATGCCTATCAGAAGACAAAGAACTTTGAGAGACTGTCTTTTCTTTATCTCATAACTGGTAACATTGAAAAGTTGTCTAAGATGCTTAAAATTGCTGAAGTTAAAAATGACGTGATGGGCCAATTTCATAATGCCTTATATTTGGGTGATGTCCGGGAGCGTGTTAAGATATTGGAGAATGTTGGTCACTTGCCCCTTGCTTACATCACAGCATCGGTTCACGGACTGCACGATGTTGCTGAACGGCTTGCAGCTGAATTAGGAGACGATGTTCCAGCTTTGCCAGAGGGAAAAGTACCATCTCTCCTGATGCCCCCTTCTCCCGTCATGCGTGGTGGTGATTGGCCCCTTCTGAGAGTCATGAAAGGCATATTTGAAGGCGGGTTAGATACCGTTGCCAGGGGTGCTGCCGATGAAGAAGACGACACTGCCGATGGTGATTGGGGTGAGGATTTGGACATGGTTGAAGTTGATGGTTTGCCAAATGGGGACGTTACAGCAATTTTGGAAGATGGTGAAGTGGCTGAAAATGAAGAAGATGGTGGCTGGGACCTTGAAGACTTGGAGCTTCCCCCTGAAGCGGAAACTCCTAAAGCTTCTGTCAGTGCACGTTCATTTTTTGTGGCCCCAACTCCTGGCATGCCTGTCAGCCAGATTTGGATCCAGAGGTCTTCTCTTGCTGCCGAGCATGCTGCCGCTGGTAATTTTGATACCGCTATGCGGTTGCTGAACAGACAACTTGGAATAAGGAATTTTGTGCCTTTGAAATCAATGTTTCTCGACCTTCATGCTGGCAGCCACACCCATCTTCGTGCATTTTCATCTGCTCCATTGATAACCCTGGCAGTCGAACGAGGATGGAACGAGTCTGCGAGCCCAAATGTTAGAGGACCCCCTGCACTCATTTTTAATTTTTCTCAGTTGGAAGAGAAGCTGAAAGCTGGTTACAAGGCCACAACCTCTGGGAAATTCACTGAAGCTCTAAAGCTCTTTCTTAGCATTATTCATACAATACCACTAATAGTTGTGGAGTCAAAGAGAGAAGTTGATGAGGTGAAGGAGTTGATTATTATAGTCAAAGAATATATATTAGGTTTGCAGATGGAGCTCAAGAGGAGAGAAGTTAAGGACGATCCGATACGCCAACAGGAACTTGCAGCCTATTTTACCCACTGCAATCTACAGCTACCTCATTTAAGACTTGCCTTGCAGAATGCAATGACTGTCTGCTTTAAGGCTAAGAACCTTGCTACTGCAGGTAACTTCGCCAGGCGACTACTCGAAACCAATCCCGTCAATGAGAACCAAGCAAAGGCAGCCAGGCAAGTGCTTCAGGCTGCTGAGAGGAATATGACAGATGCTGCCAAGCTTAACTACGATTTCAGAAACCCCTTTGTGATCTGTGGGGGCACGTACGTGCCAATTTATCGAGGACAGAAAGATGTATCATGCCCATACTGCAGTACCCGGTTTGTGCTGAGCCAGGAAGGACAGCTTTGTAATGTTTGTGATCTTGCTGCTGTTGGGGCAGATGCGTCAGGACTACTCTGCTCTTCTTCCCAGATTCGATGATTGTTCTACCGGACCGGGACCAGGACTGTTTTCAGCCATTCTCTAAACTCGCCCGTCTCGCGGGTGAATAGAAAGTTATGGTGCATCAAAGAGGAGTAAACTTCTAATGCAAGGTCTGGTCTATCTTCTTTGCCCCCTGATTCTGTTTCTTTTCAACCTCTGTTTAGTTGAATATGGTATCCAGAAATTCATGAATTTTGACTTCCGCTATTCTTTGTTAAGTTGTTCATAGACCTTTATCGATTAGATTATTTTATATGGCAGGCGTTTACGATACGATTATTTAGAAATTGTCTCGTAAATTTGATTATTTCCATGTTGAAATTGGGTTTTGATCTGAGGGAAAATGTAACATTTCTGTATTTGTTGTTATATCTATGTTTTGATGTAACTTCTCATCCCTCTGGAATTTATTATTACGTAGCTCCACTTTTGTATTGCAGGAAAGGTTCTCTCTCGTTTCGATTTATTTCTGTGACGAAAAATTGAAAATTCAATTTTTTAGTACTATAGTTTATTATTTGTTGCAACGGTAGTGAGAACATTTGTTTCCCAATCAACCCTTTTCCATTGGATGTCGCTCAGAGAGTCGAGATTCGTCTCGACTCAGACCCGGGTTGAGCTCCGTCTCAGAACCTTGTGGGGGGTTTGGCGTAGAGCATCTCGAAGTTGACATACCTCATTGGTCACGGAGAAACATTGTGAACCAAAGTAGCTTATTCTTTGGAGATATTTTTGCCATGTCTCATTGATTCGGGGGAGAGAAAGATGATACATTTAGAACATGTTTGGTAGCATTTTCATTTCTTATTTCTCGTTTATTAAAATCGGTTGATGTCCAATGTAGTGACATGATCCAATATATATTCTATGCATGATAGGGCAACAACTTTAGCTTCAAAGTTCACCATTAACCTTTTTTTTTTTTTTTACCATGAGTCGTTCACTTGACTTTTGATTATTGAAGTGACGTTGGGAAAGCACCGCATTGTAAATCGGGTCGGAACATTAGTGGCTAGATAAAAGATAAATTCATGATAATTTTGGGGCTATTTGATAATACTCTCCTTTTTTGTTTTTTTTTTTTAAGAAAATTGTAACTATGTTTTGTAACTACATTCTCTAAAATTTTAAATTTAAAAAGTAAAAGTTTTATATGAAAAATATTTAATTAAATATTCAAAATTTATATTTGTTATGCATCATAAGTTTAAAAAAAATGATAAAATCATAATTTTGTTTATGTTTTGGAAAAAAATAGGGAAATTAGCTTGATTTTGTTATAGAAATTTATACACAATTTTAAAAACGTTTATAAAAATTGAGTAACAATAAATAAGAACAATTACTGCCAACCAGAACCTAGTTTAGCAAGTTAAGACACATGTATAAAACAATGAGTTAAGACACATGTATTCAACCATTGTTTTGATTCTTAAATCAACGAGGAAATCATATTCATTTTGTTTATTTTTGTGTAAATATTAAATGACATTAGAGCAAAAAAAATTCATCATTAAATTTTGGGTTTCAGATCTTGATGATTGTTGATGCACATCAGGTTTCTGCATACAATTTGTTGGTAATCTGGTTGTTCGGTCATCGAAGAAACAAGTAGTGATGTCCAGATCAAGCATTGTATGGATATGACATTTGCGGTATGATTTACGCATTGCTTTACCTTGTGCACCTACTCTATGGTGTGATAAGTTAAGTGTTGTCCATTTAAGTGCAAATCCGATGCTCCATTCTCGTGCTAAGCATTATGTGACTTGGTTCTTCATAAACAACTAAATTCAATCATCTTCCAGCTTCAATACAACTTGTTGATGTCTTCACAAAGCCTTAGTCAGCTACTAATTTTCTTCCTCTCAATCTCAAACTCAATATTCACTCTTCCATGGACCATTGGTACGTTTGCATGGGGTGTTAAGGCTGCTCATTGAGTCTTAGTCCAATATGTTGTTTAGTTTTCGTGTTAGTCTGGTATAGCAGCTATGTAACTTATGTACATACAGTGGTGGGTTGTAAATACCACTCTTTTGATTCTTAAATCAACGAGGAAATCATATTCATTTTGTTCGTTCTTGTAGAAATCTGAAAAAATATACCGATTTTGTCATCATTATATTAGCGTCCGTCCATTAACAATATGAATTAAGTACGAAGTATAATTTTCTATCAACAAAAAAAAACAAAAAAAAAAGTAGGAAGTATAATTCAAAATTCACAAACATTATATCAAAAACAATTTCAAAATCCAAGAACTAAACACACACAATATTTAAAATTTTGAATGAAATTAAATTACCATTTGACCTTAAAACCATACTTTTTATTTTCAAAACTTTGGATTCCAATTATTGTACCAGAAAAAAGTTCCCTTCTTAAAAGTTTTAAACCCCCGAGACTAAGGAAATTTCTCAGCAAAAGGAAGATTCATCCGCACACCAAACGTGGTCCGCACGGAAGATTGGTGCACAAGTTTTTATCTTCCACCACAAAAAAAGGTAGCAACGACTGCCCACGTGGCAGCCATTCATTGGTCACGGCACGTCAGTCATGTGACCGGCTTTTGCCACCTCATAAATTCGACCCCGTATTTATACTCAATCAGAACAATTCCGCTGCAGAAAACTGTACAACAACCAACAATTATCATCATCGAATCGATTTCAGTTTTCTCTCACGAACACACAAATCAATTCCCTGCGATTATGGAGAGCCTTTCTGGAGCATCATCATCATCATCATCATCATCGGTGGAATTTGTGTTTTTCGATGATTTCGATTTCGAATTTGTTGATGAAGTCGAACGCCTCTCGAACTGGGAGTTCCTCGATGCTTCCGATGCGGAAATGGACGGAAGCGGAGATGGAGAGGGGGTAGACAGTAGCGTCGACGGCAGAGTCCCTGCGGATCTTCGGGAAAGGCTTTCTCCTGTTGCGGCGGTGCCGATTTCACTCGCGGAGGACCGAATCGACGATCGTGTAGGGGTTTATTTGCTTCAGGATCTGGAAGACGGATTCGCGTACGGTTACGACGGTAACCGCTGCGATTACGAGGGCGCGGAGGAGGATGAAGCCGACGATGATGGAGATGAGTACGATTTGGACGACGAACTCGTCCCGTGGTCTGTCAGTGGGAAACTCGGACGGCAGAGGATGAGAAAATTGGGGAAAAGAGGTTTTACGAGGATGTATAACTCGAAGAGATCGCCGTTTCTGTTCACCAAGCCTGGATGTGTCCGCGGCAAGCACGGACTCGGCTTGAAGCACAGTTATTAGATCAAGAACTCTGCGATCAAGCGCCTCAAAAAGGTAACCGGATCAAATTCCAATTTGGCTTAGAAGTAAATAGATGTAATAACAAAGCAGTAGTTGCGTTTGTTGTAATTAGTAAGTAGTTACCCTGCAAATTGAATTTGCTGGGATGGTTTCTGTTGAACACTAACCCGCTTGTTTGTAAATCAATCATCAATCTATGTCCAGAAAATTGACATGCCTTGTTGTTGTTCTTAGCTAATTAATTCAGTTGTTTGCTACAGTACAATCTAGGGCATTTTGTGGTTCATGTAATTTGTACAAAAAATCTGGAAATATGCCAACTGATTCTGGACAATTGACATGTGTTTCTATTTTGTTTCATTTCTGAAAATCACATCCGTGGCTCTTTGGGTTAAGTTAAATTTTTTTTTCCTCTTTTTTTAATGTTTGTAAATATGTATTTTAGGGAAAGTTAAATATAGTCTTTACCTTAAAAGCAAGGATATGTATGCCAATTGCTTTGCAGCCAATTGCTTGTAGTGTGCGTTTGGCATCTTTTTGAAAAAAGTTATTCTTTGGAGTGAAAGTGAAACACATGTTATATAAAAGTTCTAATAACCTCTTCTAAAATAAAAGGGGTACAAAGCTTAGTCTAAAAGCACTTTTAAGTGCTAAAAGAATTTTTAATTTGTGCAAGAACAGTTTTTATGGCTCTCTCAAATTTTAACGAAACACTGTCGAATTTAAATTAATTAATTAATTAATGCTTACCTTTCTAGTTTTTTTAGTACATAGCAAAAGAAAGAAAGAAGGAAGAAAACAAATCATCTCTCCCAATGGGTAGATCGGTGTGCATGATTCTCTCTCCATCTATGTTGGGCGTTCTTCGATCCCCAACGGCTAAACTGTTCGCGATTTCATTTTGCTCACGTCCTATGCGATTTCATTTTGCTTACGTCCTATGAGTGAGATTGGTTCAATGATGCTATTCATACATCTTTCTCTTATATCATCTATTATAATATAGACTTCATTATAAAAACATAGTCTCTGTTGATTTCCACACTACTTTGGAATCGAATTCTGCTCATATTAAGTCGTTGCCTCGGCAAGCTCAATTAAACTTTTCAGTAGCCAACATAGCCTGCAAGGCAAGTAGCCAACGTAGCCTTCCCGTTCGCCTCGTGGATGATTGTTCTAAAACCAGCCCTTCCATCAAGCACAACAACATTAGTATTTAATTTGTAGTTTGGTGGGTTTGGAGATATCTACTTCTCTACTGCGTTTATCTAATGAGATCTTTTGTCAAATGTTTGACCTTGTTAAACACCTTTTGTTTAATGAGATTGTCTTCATTCAGTTCTTACACCGTCCTACAAAAAAAAAAAAAAGATAAAATCAATATAAATTGCATCTAATGAACGGGTCGTTGATTTCCACTTAGCCCATATCCTTTTAACCTTCTTTACAAGTCCACATTGCATATGTTTTCGACTCGACTTCTATTTCGCGATGTGAGCATGTGTATTCAGTGACTATATTTCTTTTGTATAGATTAAGTTTGATAGCTAGTGAGAGAAAGCTGAGACATACTCTCCACATGAAAATCTTCAATTTGCCAAACATGTCTAGGACGTCAATTTGTCAAATATGTTTCCACTATAATGTTCCATTTCTTCCCCTAGATGCATTTGATGCTTGGTATCAAGTCAACATCCTTGAGAAAATGTCTCTTACTAAATCAGTTTTTCACCTCATTCAATACTGATCACATTAAACGTAAGAGGTCGAGGTCGAGAAAATATTTTAAATCATGTCCTCTTCCATAGGAAGTCGTCCCCATTTAACTACCAACTCTAAGAAGGTTTGGCCAAACATAAGAGGGTCTACTCCCAAGTTGGGCATTTAAAAAAGTATCATGTAGGAAGAATTTTGGCTTTAAGTGTCTGACCTAGCTGGGAATTGGGCCTTCTTAAGATTCGCCAAGTTTTGCTTCCAAAGTTTGGTTAAACTTGCTTATATCTCTAAACATCAATTCACCTCTATCTTTCCATTGGGCCATTATTTTCCAGTGAATCCAATGGATTTGCCATTTTCCGAACTACGTACCCCACCAAAAGTTTGCAATGGCTCATGGTGATATCCTGCAAGTTAATAGAAACAACCAAGGATGTATAAGTAAGTGGGCACTGCCTCCACACCTGCATCCTTAACGGCATAGAGAATCTATTTTTTTTTCTCTCTCATGTGTTGCTCTATCATTAAACTATTTTTTTGTCTCGATATTCTTGCGATTAGTGTTAAGGATCCCGCATTGAAAAGAAAATAGATTTAACAATGATTTATAATAGATATAGGTTGCTCCTCTCATAGTCAATTGATTTTGAGATAGAACCCCATGAATATTAATATGATATCAGAATTCAGAAGTTCAAACGAGCATTCGGTCTCTCTGTACTTTCTACTTTGGTTTACTGGGACCAAAATAGTATTTTAACATAAAATTTAATAATATTCATAAAAATATTTTATTTTTTTAATTAATTACAAAATTGGTACTTTCTAAAATTATTTGGAAGAATACCGTAGTTTTGGTAATTTCAACTCAAATTTTGAACTCGACAATTTTGAGACAAAAATTACCACAAACCAATAGTTTAAAAATTATAATTTTCATCACAAATAGTTTCCAAACTACAATATTTTTATAATTGTTTTGTACATACAGTTTATTTTATTAGTGTAACGTGTGCTAGTTTTTATATAAACTAATAGTTCCCATTATAAAATGGCATGGTTGACAAATTTGGACAAATTTTTTATTCCGAAGAGAATATAATATAAAACACACTAAAAATAGTATTAAAAAATCGCGACATTTAAAAAGGAAAATTACATTTGTATTTAATGGGTAACATTTCATTTTATCAAATATAGCATAAATTTGACTTTAATTAATATTATTAATGTTACATTTTATTTTTTCAAATATAACATAAACTTGGCTTGTTAGTGTTTTTATATATTGAGTTTAACTTTGATTTTTGAGTATGCTATTTTTTTTTCAATTTAAACCTTATGCTATACCTGAAAATACACCTTTATTATATACTAAATTTATGATATGGAGTGGAGTGTATCCTCATTTATTTATTTTTTTATGGATGAGCCTGTAAGAAAAAATCAATAAACCTCTTAAAATATTTAGAATTAAATTAACAAAATAACTCAAAGATTAAAGATTAATAAAAAAATGTTGCCGAAAATTTTTATTCAAGAAAAATAAATAGTAAGCAAATCCAAAAACATGGGGAAAAAATAATAAAAAAAAAACTCGTTCATTGTACGAGCTGGCCAATTTGGGCTTCCGAGTTGTAAAGCCCAATAGGCCCAAAAATGATCAGGCCCATTTCTCCGAAGCACGCCTGCAATTTTGGCGGGAAAGAAGCTACACTTCCCGCTAAATCACTTGGCTTTGCCTTTGAACAGATACATTGCAAGTCTCAGTTACTCTCTTCATCCCGCCGAATTTCTCTGCTTCACTTTCCAGCAGCCATGGCGTCCGATTCTTCTCCGGTTAACTTCAATACAGGTGGGTTACTTTCCATAGTTATGTAATTAGTCTAATTCGACATTAATGGAGGGTTCATTTCTCTATTTCTGTTCTTCATTTCTGCAGGGCCTTCGTCCCCTGATGATTCATTCTCTAGTCCGATCGGAAACACGGTCTCGTCCCCGGGGGATGGTTCTCGCAGGAGAAGCCGTCGCCGGTCATCTACTCCTTCGGAATTTGCTACGCCGCCGCGTCGACGATCCCGATTGGCCTCATCGGAAACCTCCCCGACGGCTACGGAACCGCGCTCGCGCCGGCGAGGGGGTGGGCGGAGAGCGTCCGGAAGCGGAGCTACACCCGTGGCTGCTACGCCTTCTTCAACGGATGATGTTCTGCCGTCGTCGGAAGCGGGCGAGGGCTACGATATGGACGAGGACCATCCGACCTTTGTATGGGGTACGAATATCAGTGTTGACGATGTTAAGGGAGCGATTATTCGGTTCTTGAAGCATTTTCGTGAGCGTCAAACGTCGCAGTCTGAGGGGGATTTTCATACTGAGGGGAAATACGCGGAGGCAATCAAGCGGGTTCTTGAAATTGAAGGGGATTCGCTTGATGTGGATGCGCAGGATGTGTTTAATTACGATACAGATTTATACACGAAGATGGTGAGGTATCCTCTCGAGGTTCTCGCAATTTTTGATATAGTACTGATGGAAATGGTGCCTCAAATCAACCCATTATTTGAAAAGCACGTTCAAACTCGGATTTTCAATCTCAAAACTTCTACTTCGATGAGAAATCTTAACCCATCTGGTAATGTTCCTATCATTCAATTTGATTAATTTAGTTTTTGCCAGTTTTCTCCTGTTCATTCTTAAACTGAAGATTGAGAACAATTGGTCTTTTTTTATTAGACATTGAAAGGATGGTGTCACTGAAGGGAATGATTATACGGTGTAGTTCGATAATTCCTGAGATCAGGGAGGCAATATTTAGATGTCTCGTGTGTGGATATTACACTGACCCTGTAGCTATTGAGAGAGGTGAGTTTGAGTTTCAATGGACTTGTTCTTTTCTGTTCACATGATAGGCTCCGTATGCTTGTTTTTGTTTCAAATGAAGTTTTCTGTATGTACTGACTATGAAGTTTATTTAGGACGAATAACCGAGCCCACAATATGCTTGAAGGAAGAATGTCAGGCAAGGAACTCCATGTCACTGGTTCACAACCGATGCAGGTAATCTGCTGCTAAGTTTGACGTTTCTTTAATCTGTACCCATATGTACTATGATCTAACCAATTATATTTTATTAGAATACTGTAAGCCATGTGTAATCTAAACTATTACATGTACATTTAACCAACTATTTGCTCGCTAGTTCCTTATCTTGTAAAAATCTTAATGAGTTGATTATTCGTGTTAATAATATCTTACAATTGTCTATAATTGCGACTGTATACTTAATAACATTTGGGTTCTTTCTTCATACATTGTGCTTCAAACTGTGGTAGAGATGCGGTCCCCCTACCATCTCTTTTATGATAAAAAGTATTGCATCAGCACACAGAAGGCAATGTTATCCTGCTATTAATATAGATTTACTTTGCTTCGTCTATGTTTTATTAAATTGGGCCTATAATTTTAACATACTGTTCTTTACAGAACTTGTCAGTTATTAACTGATGGACCATGTATCTGTTGATTCACTCCTATTAGACATTTTATCATGTTTTAATGATGAAACCTGTAAATGGAGGGGTGGCTAGAACTTATAATAAGACTGACGTATGCTCTTGAGTTAGGTTTGCTGATAAGCAGATTGTGCGGCTTCAGGAGACTCCAGATGAGATACCGGAAGGAGGGACACCTCATACTGTAAGCTTGTTAATGCACGACAAGCTGGTTGATTCTGGAAAGCCTGGTGACAGAGTTGAGGTAGAGCCACTCTTATAAATGCAGTGGATCCATGGAATATTTATTTTTCTAGTTTGATTGATGAGGAATCTTTTCTTAGGTCACTGGGATTTACCGGGCCATGAGTGTGAGAGTTGGACCAACTCAGAGAACTGTAAAGTCATTATTCAAGGTATACATTTTCTTCATTTACTAAAAAATAGAACTGGCATTGTCAGTTGTGCTGTAATTTTAGCATGACAATACTTGTTTCATTTATTGCAGACTTATATTGATTGTCTTCATATAAAGAAGGCTGATAAGTCAAGAATGGCATCAGAGGATTTGATGGAAGTCGAGAGCCGGTTGGGTGGAAATGTGGATGATCTCTCTTTTGATGAAGCGAAGGTCTGGAGTTTTGGCGTTTTTCAGTCCAACGTTTCTTGGCCATTCTTAAACTGCCCTCACGTTCTTGATTGAAATGCAGGTGGAAGAGTTGAGAGAGCTCTCCAAAAAGCCTGATATATATGACAGATTAACCAGGTCATTGGCACCAAATATTTGGGAGCTTGATGATGTAAAGAAGGGCCTTCTTTGCCAGGTATTTTCCACAATTCTACTTGTACTTTTTCTAGCCTTATTCTGATGATTGATTCTTCTTTGTGCAGCTCTTTGGTGGGAGTGCTTTGAAATTGTCATCTGGTGCAAGCTTTCGAGGAGATATTAACATACTTCTTGTTGGTGATCCTGGAACTAGCAAGTCTCAGCTGCTCCAATACATACATAAACTATCTCCCCGTGGCATTTACACCAGTGGAAGGGGTAGCTCTGCTGTTGGTTTGACTGCTTATGTTACCAAAGATCCTGAAACTGGGGAAACCGTATGATCCTATTGCATTTTAAATCTAATTTTCTTGACTTCCAACTTGTTTGAACAATGGATAACTTACATACTTCGAGTTACTGTTTAGGTACTGGAGAGTGGAGCCTTGGTTTTGAGTGACAGGGGCATATGCTGCATTGATGAATTTGACAAAATGTCTGAAAACGCAAGGAGTATGTTGCATGAGGTTGGTGTGCCTTTGCGTTTTATTTCAAAGAAGATTTATCTATGTTCTATATAATTTGGTAGGAGACTAGAACACTGAGGATTTGAACTTTGGGCTTGTATCTATTGCTCATTTCTCAGTTTTTTCTTTGTGAATAACATTTGTTATATGAAAGGAAGAGCAGTATCTTACTGATAGCAAACAGCATCCATATATGTCACTATTATTCTACATGTTAAAAAATTCCCTATCTTTTCTGTTCCATCAGTCATCTATTTTGCCAATCCTATTCCATTTCTTTTGATGGCTTAATTTTTAATGCTTCTTATATTGCGTAGGTGATGGAGCAACAAACCGTTTCAATAGCAAAGGCTGGAATTATTGCTTCCCTTAATGCAAGGACTTCAGTATTAGCTTGTGCAAATCCTAGTGGCTCACGTTATAATCCTCGCCTTTCTGTGATTGATAACATACACCTTCCTCCTACTTTGTTATCAAGGTTAGAAAATACTATTTTGTTGACCGCAATGTTTCTAAGATATTATATACATGCATCTAAATTCAATACCTACTGAGCTGTTGCTGTGATCAATTGTATGTTTGGCACCGTGAACTAATGATGTTGTAAAGATTGATACTAAACAAAATGAAATCCTGTAAAGCTGAAAATTGGTTTTTTTTTCCCTTAATTTTTTTTATAAGAAACAGAGATATGTATTAACAGCAAGGAAAGGAACAACCTAAGGACGAGAGGACCCCCTCGTCCTTGATTTTAAATAACATCTAGTTTGAACTTTAGACGCAACTATTGACTGAAATTATTTTGGTTAATTGGATTCTCAGGTTTGACTTGATTTATTTAATTCTGGATAAAGCTGATGAGCAAACAGATAGGCGCCTTGCTAAGCATATTGTCTCGCTACACTTTGACAACCCTGAGGTTTGAGTAACTTGCAATTCTGGTCATAGAGTGGCTACCTCTTGTGATTTATGCTGTTCATCATTCAATTGCACTCCTCCACTTGCAGGGCATTGAGCAGGATTTCTTGGACCTTCATACCTTGACTTCATATGTCAGCTATGCTAGAAAGCATGTTCATCCACAATTGTCGGATGAGGCAGCTGAAGAGTTGACCAGAGGCTATGTTGAGCTGAGAAGGAGAGGAAACTTTCCAGGCAGTAGTAAAAAGGTACTCTTATTCAAATATGTTCCAATGATCTGATTCTGCTGTCAAACTTTGGTCACTGTTTTAGTCATAGCCTTATTCCCTGCTTTCTCATTTATTATTGAACCACCATCAGGTTATAACAGCTACTCCCAGGCAGATTGAGAGTTTAATACGTCTAAGCGAAGCCCTTGCTCGAATTCGTTTCTCGGAATGGGTTAGTGAAGCTACTTTTTTCCTTTACTTTAAGATGGTTCCTATTTTATATAGCGAAGTCCTATTGCATTCAGGTTCAAAAGGGTGATGTTCTTGAGGCATTCCGGCTTCTTGAAGTTGCAATGCAACAGTCTGCAACAGACCATTCTACAGGTAGCTGTTTGGCAATGCCTCTGAATCTCTTTCAAGTCATTTATAGTTTCGTTTTCATATCTTGAACTTCAATGTTGCTTCTTTGCAATCAACTCTCAGGAACAATTGACATGGATCTAATCACCACGGGAGTCTCGGCGAGTGAAAGGATGCGAAGGGAGGGTCTATTATCGGCAACTCGCAACATTATTATGGAGAAAATGCAGCTTGGAGGACCCTCCATGCGCCTGGCAGAGGTGTGCTGCTAACTTTTACTCTGTGCAGGAACTTCACTTGTTAAGTTGAAACTTGTTTCTAAATCTTTCACAATTCTTCTGTAGTTATTGGATGAACTGAAGAAGCAGAATCCTGATAATGAAGTCCACCTCAACAATGTATGTTCCCTCTCTTTCTCTCTAGATCTCCCTTCCCAACCCTATCACAAATTGTCACATCATAATGAGCAAATTTTGCGAATAATTACGTATAATGCAGCTTAGGAACGCAGTTTCGACACTTGCGAGTGAGGGATTTGTAGCAATCCATGGTGACAGCATAAAGAGAATATAAGGAGCTTGAAGATGATGGCAGAGAATTTATTTGGTAATGGGTTGATTCTTATTGTATAAAAATCTCATCTTCTTTTTCTTCCTTCCCTCTAATTTCTGTAACAATATTTATCTGCTGGTTTAATCACGGTTAATATAGTTTTGACTGCTAAATTTCACTAACTTTCTAGCTCAAAAAGATTACATTACAAACATGAGGAAATCCAATCTCACGATTCATGAGTGGTACTATTGTTTGGCTACTCGTGTTATGCTTTCAATATGATATCAAAGTTATTTTGCTATTGGATATTTTTAATTAAGTTGTGAGAGAATCAATTATTTTTTCGAATCCATGCATCTAACAAATTAAGATCTTCTTTACTTAATGAGGATAGAGTTCTTAATTTCAATGAAAATTAAGATTTGTATGAGTTGCTTCCTTATCAATTTTATTTTTCTACTTGAGGATATAATATTAATTATTAAGGACGAAAATGCAATCTATAAAGATTTTTTTTTTTAGAAAAGCAACCTAAAAAGAAATTGATAATGTTTTAATTAATTTACGGTCATGTTTGATTTCTTTATCAATACTGTAGACTTTTTCAATTGCGTCTAGTTTATAACTAATTTACCCTTTTATTTAATCTATTATGCCAACAATATTTATTACAATAAAATATTATACTTTTTTAGATGACGATTTTATTATAAAGTAGTATGAACTTCTATCTAATTTGTCAATTATTTAATTTTATTTAGCCATTATTTGTCAATATCAATTATACTTTTATTAAAAAAAATACTAATATTAGTTTAATTGATATATTTTATTTTGATCCGAATGCTACTAAGTTCTAACTACATGATCAAACTGAACAAGAAATAATATTTAAACATTTTATTTCTAATTGATGATTATTTCTTAAAATAAATTAAATATTAAAAATATAATATAATTTTTTTAAAAGCGAGTCTGGCTAATTGACATATTTCTCGAACTAATAGGTTGTGAGTGAAATCGTAGAGAGAAAATTAGGAATTACGTTATTGATAAAGGAAAAATCAATTATGAACTACACAATAATATGTTTATATAGGTTATCAATCCTAATCCTAAAAATATGAAAAGACTACTTTACCCTCAAAGACTAATAATAATAATTCTAATATTTATGCTAACATCCCCGCAAACTCACGATGCTACAACTATAAGCATTGAGAGTTTGTCAGATAAAAAACGAAAGCGCGAAGCGGAGTGTGCCTTAGTAAACATATCAGCAATCTGTAGAGATGAAGAAACAAAAGGCAATGTATGTGATAGAGCCCCGTTGAAGATGATGACGAGTGATATGACAATCAATCTCAATATGCTTGGTTCGCTCATGAAAAACCGAATTGCGCGCAATCTGAATCACACTTTGATTGTCACAATATAAGGGAGTAGGATGATGAAGATAAATGCCCATATCTGCAAGTAGCCAACGTAACCAAACAATTTCACAAGTAGTCGAAGCCATGGCACGATACTCAGCTTCTGTAGAAGATCGAGAAATAACATCTTGTTTCTTACTCTTCCATGAAATAAGTGAATCACCAAGGAAAATACAGAATCCAGTGGTCGACTTGCGATCGGTAAGATCACCAGCCCAATCAGCATCAGAGTAAGCACGCAAGTCTAAAGATGATGTGGAAGGAAACAAAAGACTCTGAAATTGAGTGCCTTGAAGATATTTGAGAATACGAAGAACGACAGCCCAATGAACTGGGAGCAGTGACAAATTGACTAACCATATGAACAACATGTGCAATGTCTGGACGAGTTACAGTAAGATAGACCAAACTCCCAACAATAGTACGATATAAATTGAAATCCGACAAAGGAATCCCATCCAACGGAGAATATCGGGCATTGGGCTCAAGGGGAGTATCAACAGTCCTGTTTGTCAGTGAGACGCGCACGATTAAACAGATCAGCTATATACTTTGATTGAGATAAGAGATAACCTTTTGGATAATAAGCAACCTCAATGCTGAGAAAGTAGCGCAGCATACCCAAGTCTTTCATAGCAGAACAACAAGATTGCTCAGATTTTAAAAATTCTATTCCATCAGAATCATCACTAGTAATGATCATGTCGTCAACATACAATGACAAAAAAATACGACCTAAACTGGTACATTTGACAAACAATGCGGAATCATGATGACTAGGGATAAAATCAAATGAAGTAATAACTGTGGAAAACTTCTCAAACCAAGCACGAGGTGCTTGTTTGAGCCCATAAAGTACTTTGCAAAGCCTACAAACTTCACCAGACTGGTGGGCGACATTGGGAGGAGGAGTCATATAAACTTCTTCATAAAGGTCACCATTTAAAAAGACATTCTTAATATCCATTTGAAATATTCTCCATTGACGAATAGAGGCCACTGCAATCATAGTGCAGACAGTCGTCATTTTTGCAACATGGGCAAATGTTTCTTCATAATCCATGCCATACTCCTGGGAGTAGCCTTTAGCAACAAGTCGAGTCTTGTATCGTTCAATGGATCCATCATATTTAGTTTTAATCTTATAGACTCAACGAGAGCCAATAGTACGTTTTCCAGATGGTAGAGGTACCAAATCCCATGTGTGAGTGTGATGTAGAGCAGTAAGTTCTTCAGCCATAGCATTCTGCCAAAGTGGATCACAAACAGCCTCTTTAAAGGATGAAGGTTCAGAGAGACGATGAATTGAAGTAACGAAGGAAACAAAAGAACTATTATAAGAAGAGTAAGCAAAATCTAGTAGTTTAGTGGACTTACGAACACGAGTGGACTGACGGAGTGGATGAACATCAGCAACCTCAGGAGATGATTGAGCAGCCATAGGAAGTGGAGAATCAGATGTGGACCTGTTAGTAACCAAAGTATCAGATGTTGTTGAACTACCAGTAGGGGCAGTTGGATCAGTGGGTGGAGCTTCTTCAATGTTAGTATTGAAAGGATCAATGTCAATAAGATCAGAATGTGTCAAATGATGGGAACTAGTAGGAATAGAGAAAAAATGAATATGTTCTAAAAACACAATGTGATGAGAGACATACAATTTTTGACTAATTGGATCAAAACAGCGATATCCCTTTTGACCAACACCGTAACCAACACATAAGGCTGATTTAGGAGATAATTTATTGCGTTCGACGTGTGGGCGAAGAACAAAACAAGTACAACCAAATACACGCAAAGAGGAATAATCATGCACATGTCCATACAATTTTTCAAACGAAGACAAACCATAATTATGTGAGGTTGGAATTCTATTCACCACATGCGTGGCGGTAAGAATCGCTTTCCCCCAAAACTCACTAGGAACATCAACTGATAATAAGAATGACCGAACTGTTTCGATAAGATGTAAAGTCTCATCTGAAGCAAGTAAACGGGAAAAGTCATTAGAAGTATATTCATCCCCTAGATCACTACGAAAACATTTTATGACGACGGAATTTTTTTTCACAAGAGCTCGAAAGTTGGTATAAATAGTAAGAAAGTCGGATCTATATTTCATAAGATAAACCCAAGTATGACGAGTGTAATCATCAATAAACGAAACATAATATCTGTAACCCCCTTTAGTGGGTATAAGAGATGGTCCCCACACATAAGAATGAAAATCAAATGGAGCAAAAGAAACGGAAGTACTATTATTAAAAGGTAAGGCTGAAAGTTTTGCAAGTTTACAACCACTACAATCAGAAATATCATGATTGTTTAACTGACCTAAAGCTCCTGTGGACACTAAGAAACGCAAACGAGATGCAAACACATGATCCAAACGAGAATGCCATAAATAGAAGATGGAAGATGAATCAGTCAAGCGAAAGAAGAATGAATCCACACTAGAAGCTACAATATCCGCTACTTTGAGTTGATCCAAAACATAGAGTCCCCTGCCTATGGCCTGTCCCAATCTCCTTCTGATACTGTAAGTCTTGTATTGAACAAGTGGAAGAAGAAAAAAAACTGAGTATCCAGATTTACATAATTGACTAACAGAGACAAGATTTAAAGTAAGGCTAGGAATATAGTAAACATCAGATAGAGACACATAAGGTGTAACGATTGAACCAATACCTACTAATGGCATAGGGGTGCCATCAGCAGTCACAATTGATACTGAAGAATGAGAACACAAAGAAACAAAAGAGGACAAATTGGGAGACATATAGTGAGAGGCACCTGAATCTAGGACTCATAAGGTAGAGGATATACCTGAAGCATCAGATGATGACAAACCTTTAGAAGATGAGGCAGACATAGCATAAGGGTGTGAAACTAGAAACTTCTGAAACTGCTCAAACATGTGTGGATCCAAAGATGGAGCGGTCACTCCATTATTGGACTGAAGTGGTCTATATGTTCATGGAGTATGTTGTGGGGGTTGTTGTTGCTGTGATGGTGACGGCTGATGTTATTGTTGCTTTTGTTGTGATTTACCCAATTTATTCAGCAACAATGGACATTGAGCCTTCCAATGACCCTTGTTTTTGCAGAATACACACTCATCATGAGAAACCCGTGTGTGAGTTTTTCTGTATGATAGTAGTGGAAGATCGTTGTGGAGTAGCAAAAACTGATGGATTCAGAGGAGAAGTAATTTTCTTATCTTTATTAGACTTGAGATGAATATCTTCTGCTAATCATGACGAAGAGCCATAAGAAACTGGACCAAGCACTATGAGTCCCTCCGAGTGATATAAGCCTCGAATGTGCTTAATTCTAAAGATTCTCTTAATGCCAACTGATCCCATAATTCTGACATTGAAGAGTATAAGTCTTGAATACTCATATCATTCTGTTGTAATGCTCGAATATTCGTCTCCAATTGATACTGCTTGGCAAAATTAGATTGTGTATACAATTTGGCTAGGTGATCCCAAACCACTTTAGCAGTATCGTATTTTGCTAATTGTACACCAATGGAGTGCATAACAGAATTATTTATCCATATGATAATCTTCGAATTGTCAGACTCCCAAGTATTTAATGCGGATTCATAGTCATTTGCCTTGGTGTCTTTAGGCTTAACTCGCTTACTCATAACATAGTTTCGCATAGATTTTCCACGCAAGAAATTCTTCATAACATAACTCCAATACGAATAATTTTTACCATCCAATTGTAAGCTAAGCTAATTGATTGAAGAGAATATCCTTACGATTAGACATAATGGCAAAATCAAAACAATTCCCAATTTCACCCAATAAAACTACCACCAAATTTCACCGAACAAAAAAAGAGTTGCACTATGCCGAAGACTAACACTACGCCAAATCGTAAATTTCCAATCCACAATACACAAAAATTAAGGATACCGGACGATTCCAAAAATCAATCTAACAATCCAAAAGCAAATTAAGCTTCCAAATTCCAAAGCAAATATCACCAAAATTCAAAATTATGTTGATTGACCCTTCTTCGATGCAATAAAAATCCAACCCCTTGACCCTTCCTCGATGCAATAAAAAATCCAAAACTCAAAACACATACTGATTGCGACAATGAGAATTTCGAAATCGATTTCTCCACGAAATTGCCTGCAAATTCAACATTTTCAAAAAAACTGAATTTACATGAAATTGCCTTCCTTGCCCGATCAACTAACGGATTCAGATTTAAATGATAACGAAGGCTCTGATACCATGAAATCGTAGAGAGAAAATTAGGAATTACTTTATTGATCCAGGAAAAATCAATTATGAACTGTAAGATGTTTATATAGGTTATCAACCCTAAACCTAAAAATATGAAAAGGCTAATTTACCCTCAAAGACTAATAATAATAATTATATTATTTATGCTAACAGTGAGTTTGATCTCGTTGTAAAAAAAAAAAGTTGGAAATACAAAAATTTGCAAGTAAATAATATAAAAACTTTTTAATTACGATTGTGCCTATAAAAGCTTTTTTTTTTGTTGGCCAAACATGTTCTCTATTTCCATGACTTGGAATTTTCTCGGCGATTTTCCGCTGACTCAACGTTGCAACAAGTCCCGATTAGCTATAGCGAGTCTTTGGTCCAGCCTCAAATCCCACTTATTTTGGACATTTCTCAGGAGCATTTGAACTACTTTTCAGCTCATGTACAACAGTAGTTCAGGGTTGCTCCAACAGGTACGTAGCATTCGTTTTTTCCGTCCTTACCCTGGTTCGTACCCCTTCAATTACTTATCCTTCCCATTAGAATTCCAACATATTTACACTTAAAATCTGTCATTTTCCTCCCAAAATTCTTATGTTCACTCGCAACATCTAATTAATTTGGGACAAAATTTGTCATCATTCAGCTATCTCCAAATTCCCCGCCTATAGTTAGTACCTCTCCCCATCATCTCAATTTATGTTTTTAGAAGGGATTCAACGAGTAAGTATCAATCGGGTTCAATGTATGCTTATATTCGCAGTCTTGGAAGGCCATTGAGGTCTCTTGAACCTCCTCAATTGGTCGTTACTTCGTCTCCCTCCCCTTAGTGCTCCTAGTAAACCTTCTTTTCTTTTAGAGAGATTAGTTCAAAACTAAATCAATTTGGATGCAGAAAATAAAGAAGAAGAGCTATCAGACCAAGTCGACAATGTATATTTTGGTGATTTGAGGTACCAACAGGAGAGACAACAGCTAGAACGCAAAGAGAAGAGTTCAGGGGTACGTGACATGAAAGTTGATGAAAACTCGAAAAAAACGGGCTGGTTCAGTATATTTATCTAGTGAAACAGAGAAGAAAAAGAATGAGAGGTTGATTTTCGAAAGTTTACAGCAGAAGAATGGGAAGAAGATTTTGAGAATGCTATGCGATTGGGAGGGCAAATTGCGTAGAGAGCGTGTTACATGAAGTCCCATGTACATTCACCAATTAGGTTTAAAACAATGAGTATCGAAGAAGAGGATGTAGAGGTCGGACATGAGTTACCTCTTGAGATTTCAAGAGAGACACTATCTAAGAGTTTAGAGGACGAGGTAAATAAACCACCACAGAATGAGGGAGATTTTGCAACTCCGCCGGCCACCTTGCCCGTTGTTCAAGGTACGTATGATCTTTCTCAGTTCTTATTGACTCCCTTAACTATTGGCATGCCTCAGGAAGATAGAAGGAAATGAATTGTATACATTATTCCGATCGATTCAAAGGAGGAGTTAGAACCCTCCATCGAATATGATTGAAGTCAGTACCACCTTTTGGCACCCGTTAAAATCCTGGGCAAGATGAATCTTATAGAGCAGAATATTTGAAACTTTGATTTTGAATTAATTTCAAATTTTGCCGTGGATTTGAATCAAATAGACCTGAATGTATTGAAATAAATTACAATATGTTATTAAATATTCTCTCTTTTTTACCCCGCATAATTTCCCACCATATATAGCAGGAAACATATTAGATAAATGTGCCACTTGAAAATATAGTAAAAAAAAAATAATTGATGACAAATATAGCAAAAAAAAAAAAAAAATGGAGGCTCAATTCTAACGGAATGGATTTGTCACTTCCAACGATTTTTGGAAATGAGAAAAATCTCTACATTCTTATAATATCAATATCAATGATATACTTCACAGGTATATTCTTATTATTTTATATTAGATATATCAATTATATACTTAAAATAATGTATATCATTGATGCATTGTAGAAAGAATAGAATATGATCCTAATCGTTCTTCTCGATAAAATAATGTATATCATTGATGTATGTGATATATACCAAGTAAAATAAAACAAAATTTATCGATACATGAATAATCAAACTATATAAACAAATAACAAAAAAAATTTATTGGTGATAGAAATCAGTAGATGCACCCGATAATCCCAACTATGTTGGCACAATCTTAGCACCCTCATCATCTAGCTCATTCCAATAAACAAATAACATTAAATAATAAGAGTTTGTACATGAGAATTGTTCAAGCTAAAAAAAATTTATTAACTAATTCTTCAAATATAAACCATAGTAGTGCATCCTCTTGCGGAAACCACCCTCGTAAGGTATGGGAAGTCCACAAAGGCGCTCTAAATCTTCGAAGGATTTATGGCTATCTTCTACCTCCACACTCCGCTCCACCTCTTCCAACGCTTCTCGCGCTGCTCGTCTCTCTTCTTCAATATTAGGCAGTCCAAAAAGTTGTTGTCGTGCTTTCAAGATCGTGCCCGAAAACCTTTTCTTCAGCATTGTCACTCGAGCGGCTGTCTTTGGTGACAACGGTGGAGTTTTGATCATCGGTTGTGGTGCTGCCACCATTGTGGCTTTAGCTGTTGAACTTCTCAGGGTCCTAGTTGGTGCCAAATCTCCACCGACTCCATGCGATTTCTATTCCAAAAATCACATTTAGTATGCACAGACAAAATAGACCTAACAAATTTTATAAAATAAATAGATTACTTTTCTCCTAATCAATTGATTTTAAGATGAAACTCTTTAAATATTAATATAATATCCTCTCTTTATTGATTGATTTTATGATGGTAGCTAAATGAATATAGCTATTAACATTATATATATTTTTTCTGTTAATTTGCCTGACTGCATTCGTTTTTTTTTTAGGATTTTTCTTCTTTGTTTCGAGAGACTTTTATTCCTTTAGGTTTAGGCTTTAACTACGTCTGTGTTAAAAAAAGACAATAGTATAATTAGTTTAAAAAAATAAAATATACTAAATTTTATTTAATAATCTATTTTTCAGATAAGTTGTAGATCCCACCAAATCAATTGTCAAAGATAATTTTAATTTTACAAAATATTAAAAAACTAAATTTTAATGTACATATTATCATTATAAGCAAAATATTTAATATACTTGAAACTTACCCAATATTACTGACAAAATATTTAAAATCTTAAAATGGTTTTTATAATAATAACAAGAAATATAGCAGTCATCAACAATTAAAATCTTCTCAACGGCAACGGGTGGGGTCGGGGGCGCCATCCCCATCCCTGTCCAGTTGGAAAATTTTCCCCTATCTCCACTCATGTCCTTGAAACTTTTGGGGTCGGGATTGGGTTCTCGGGGAACCCGTCCCTAATAAAATATTTATTTTTTTTAATGGGTGTTAAAAATAAATGAAAAAATGGTTAAATGAGCATTGCGCTTGGACTTAAAAAAAAGTATTTATTAAAATTATTATATATAAAAATATAAAAATTAATAAAATATTAAATGGGGCGGGGTGGGGATGTCGGCCAGGGACCCCGATTAGGATCCCTGGTCTGACCCCATCCCGGTCAAATCGGGGATGGGATCGCACGAATTTTTTTGCCATCCTTACTTCTCAATATCGAGTTAAATTTTTTTCTTATAATGGTTAAATTTCTTATCTGAAAAATACATGATAAATTATATTTTAAAAAATTGATTTTGTTAGGTCTACCATTTATTTCAAAAATAGATTACTAAATTTGATTGGATATATTGTACTAAAAGTTGATTGTATTAAATCCGAAACTAATTTTTAAAAAGGTACTTTTTAGAATAGTGGACCTTTTTTTAATATTTGGTAATTTTCAAATCTTTCTGATATTTTTTTATAATGATAATACCTACTTTAAAATTTTAGGTTTTCTAATATTTTGTAATTTTTTTCCGTTTGGAAAAGATTGATTTGATGTAGTCTACCGCTTATTTGAATGATAGATCATTAAATAAAATTCGATATATTTTATTAAAAGAAAATTTTAATTATATGAAATTTTATATGAACTAAATTTAAGAAAAGTTCAATAATATCAAATAAAGATCAAAACATTCCAATTAAAAGAATACAAAAAATTATCTCAAAACAAAGAAAAAATAAAAAAAAATCAAACAAAGAAAAATAAAAAAATCTTAAAGAAAAAGTTGAAAGAAAAAAAAACCCTTCAAATTTAGGGAAAAAATTAAAAATAAAAAAATCTAGAATGTTACTATCACAGAGAGTAAAACCCAAAAAAATATGACATCATATAACAAAAAAAAAAAAAAAAAATTAACCTAATGGAACTCACCAATACAGTCACTGCTGCCAAATCTTCCCAAAAAGTTTCTCGACAATTTGCACCCACCTAAACATATACAAAATTAGATATATAAATAAACGCAATAAAATTTCAAGAGCTACCACGTTTCTTATTTTTTCGACACAGTATTCTTAACAAAATAGAGAACTCACCACATTCGTCTTTGGCTTTGCATTGCCTAGGGTCTCCGATGTGAGATTACCATTATAAAATCTGATAGAACCTTTTTATTGATCAACTTCTTATTTGGTGGCTTGGCAGTCAATCTTTCACATAGAAGAAGATCTTTCAAATACGAAAGATCTTTCTCAACACCCTTGTTTTTCATCTTTCTTCACGGTTCAAATGATCTCAATTTCTTTCTACACTCTTTCTGATCTCCAGAACTTTTGGTATGGAAAGAGGAACCCTAATATTATTTTATAACATACAATGCTTATTATTTCATTACAATTATTGGTAATTTGAAATTTAAAGTGTAAATTTGAAATTTGATTTCGTTGATAGAATTAGATAGGATAAGTTATGGTATAAGAAGAATTATATAATATATTTCTTTCTAAATTCCGGTGCTAGACTTAGTTTATATATAGGAGATTAAATTGGAAGGTTAAAATAAAAAGATTTTAATGGTTTAGTTTATTTTAAGAAATTATTACTCTTAATATAAATTATGATATTAAAAAAAAAAGGTACCCACAAAAATAGCCGTGGGAATTGTTTTCCATTTGTTTATTTTTCTTAAAGTCTCAATTGTTAATTTACGAAAATCTCCAAATTTTAAATTCCTACGGAAAATTTTCATTGTAAAAGAAGAATTATTAAATTTATTAAAAATGTCTCATAATTCATAAAATTATCCATACATGTAAGCGCTAAATATATAAACATTACAATAATATCTCATAAATTTTACATACAAGTATTTAGATTTAGGATTTAAAAAAAATATAATAATAATACAAATACTTAATTAAAAATAATGCTGACGACAGGTACGGAAACATATTCTCGGTCTCCATTAAGGTGAAAAACTTTCTCCACCTCACTTCATGGAATGTTTAAATGGAGATTCTATCTCATTAGAGGTTATCACGAAGAAAAAAATACAACACTCCGATCAGTGCTAAACAAATTAAATTTTAAAAATCAATATTTACAAAATTCAAATCTTGATCTTGTTATTCCGACAAATGTACAACATTGTGAAGTTATGTTTAAGTTGAATATTTGAAACTTGATTTTGAATTAAATAAAGCAGAATAATATATGAAAATAAATCACAATAGGATTATCAAAGTTCTATTTTTTTTTTTTAAACAAACAGGTTGGATAACTCATCTCATTTCCTCGTCTAAATTTTGAAAAATAGATGAAAAAGAGAAAAAAGAAAATTTGGAGAAATAGATGAAAAAGAAAAGAAAAAGAAAAGCGGTGATTCCGGTCGCGGGGATAAAAAAGCAGAAATTCCCTGGGACACGATATATCGAAAGAACAATAATTTAATTTAGGGATAAAAAAAAAATCCTAATAGGAAAAAAAAAAACAAAAAACAGATGGAATCGTAAACGTGGATACGATCACAGCGTTCAACCCATCTCCTGTGTTCCTCCATCTTCGTCCCGAGATTCGTCTGTGTTCTCTTGTTCTCCAGGCCTGAAACTTTCTCTCATACGATTTCGGCCTTGAGGATTGGCATCTCCATCTCGGAAGAATGGGCGATTCCCGAGGAGGTTGCTGTCCGTCCATGGATCTGTTCCGCTCGGAGCCGATGCAGCTTGTGCAGCTCATCATTCCCATCGAGTCTGCGCATCTCACTGTCTCCTACCTCGGTGATCTCGGCCTTCTCCAGTTCAAAGATGTATCTAGACTTTCTCGCTTTCACTATCTCCCTAATCTTTCACTTCTCTGATTCTGTTTTGGTTTTTGCTTCACCCCGGCTTGCATTGTTTTTGTTCGAGATTATGTAATTCCGGTGTTTGTTTGTTTTTGTTGCTTGTCAATCTATATCATATGAGTTTGAGCTACGTATACTCTGTTGATGCTCAGACTGAACTTGATTGCTACTGTTTTTAGTTTATTGTGCTTCACTGTGGTGAAAATTCTCTTGCATTTGTTGCAACCGGAGGTCGTTTCGACTGTTTTTAATGGTTTGAGTTCCATATACGCTTTGTTGGTCGATTATCCAGTAACTGTCAGCTTGTATGTCAGCATCTTTTATCTCATGGAGTTGTCCTTGGATATAGGGCTTCGATATTTAGTTAAGTAAGATGGGTGACTAAGGAACTCCAAAGTCGGCTCAAAGGTTGAACATAGTATTCAGCAGTTCAAGATCCCTTTAGTTTTGGGCTATCTACTTAGAGTATATAGCACGCACTTGGGTTTTCTGATGATGACATATTGGAGGTTCATGTGGTAGTTTCAAATTTCAAGCACCCAATGATTGGGGACCTGGGGTTAAAAAATTTTTTGAGCATTCAGAGGAAGAAAAATACGTGGAAGGTCTGAAGTATTATATGGCATACAATCTCATGAGGTTTGAAAATTTTCCCAATATAAGGCACAAGTGGAATCATGTTAGAAAGTCATCTTATCTACACTCCGTGCATAGCTATTTCAAAAAATGAAACCTTTTCGTAATTACATCCCCATCTTATTGATCCGATTGTCCCCTCACCCAACGAAGATCAATGGAGATGGCCCCACGAACCATCGGGCTTATAGACCACCAGATCAACCTTCAAACTACTCTGCTCACACACTGTCCATGACCAACAGGAATCCTCTACTCTAACATTTGGCATGATAAATACCCCAAGAAAGTTAAATTTTTCTGCTGGAAACTCACTCACGGGGCCTTAAACACTCATGATAGAGTACAGAGAAAGAACCCCCAATTGTACCTGTCTCCAAATTGCTGCATACTATGTTTTGGAAGCTCCGAAACACAAAGCCATCTATTTATTCATTGCCCATTTGCCACTCGATTTTGGAACTGCTTGCTCTCAAGTTTCAGATGGACAACAGCTCTCCACACACAACCAGCTACACTACTTGATTGTTTTTTGGTGGGGCACCCCTTCAACAGAGGAAAAGCTATACTTTGGACACAACTGATTCGAGCCTTCCTT